CGAACCCATACATATATATATGGGTTTTATAGCTCTTCTGTCATTGAAAAAAAAACTTCTGCAGCAACACTAGTCTACGGTTCCGAATCCTGATTTTTTTTTTTAAGAAAAAGCAAGTGGGACTAACTTGCTTGTGTCTGTTGCATCCAATAAAGCTGTGCAGTTGTGCAGAAAATTTGCACTTATATATGTGTGTGCGCGCGCGCGCGAGCGCCCTTTAATATTTTTACAGTGAATGTAGATAAGTTATTTATATTTACTTTCAAAACGATATTGTTTTGAAAGATTAAAAAAATATAATGAGAAAAAGTATTATAACTCTGAAATAAATTATAATTACAAAAATAAATTGATTTTCGCTCCAAACAACGTTGTTTTAAACTCAATGTAAATAACTTATTTACATTGACAGTGGAAAAAATGAACTCATATATATATATATATATATATATATATATATATATATATATATATACACGTAAAATCATTTCTGCAGCCGCTTTACGTACAACAACGACAAGTGTATGGTTATGATTTCTCACATTTAATGTTTTCATCCTTTGCATGGTTACGATTTTCCGCATTTAATACTTCAAGCATATATATGACAAATATTTAATTACTGCACGTACCGCAACTGCAGAAATATAAATCTCATATATATAACTATTTAAGTTGATATATAGCCGTAATCCACTAGAAGTAGTTGATATATAGCCGTAATCCACTAATCCAGTTTGAGCCGTGTACGCTACTTCATGTTGTAAACAAAAAAATGTTTTAAGCATCAAGCACTTTGACAATGAACCACGAATTAACATGCATTCAATTTTCAATTGCTGACGAATGACTCCCACTAATTATTGATGTTTATTAAGCACCGTCAACTTTTATATTAAATCAAACTCATTAATCTTGTACTCCTTCAAATGGTTCAAGTTTTCTTAATATTTTTCTATTTATTCCTATTTAAAGTATCAGTAATTAATTAGTTCTGCTATAAAACTTTCAAATATCACTATAGGACTTGAGATCCTTTTGGCAAATTCCACCTGAAAAGACCAACTGTTTGGGGAAAAGAAAAAGGGATAAAGCATTGGTTGGTAAGTCTTTTTTTTTTTCCTTTTTTTTGGGGTACAATTGGTTGGTAAGTCTTTATTGAAGTGTAATGTTACTTAAAGCGATTTGAATATGGAAAACTCAGACCTAAGTGGGCTCCAGCGCATATCTACTTTACCATTAGAATGTTATATGGGAGTAAGCATCTAAATAATAAATTGTTTCCTGAACATTGACACGTGACTCCTTGTGAACTGGGTCCTCCATGTTCCCTACTCTAGGATCCTTTTAGTGATGAAAACATCTTTCTAAATTAAGCACACTGATCCTTAATTCCTTACCAAAAAAGGTTTTGTATTTGGAATATATTATTCTATTTATTTCTTTTATTATTTATTTTTGCTTATCATTATTTAATATTGTTAAAATCAAAATCTTAATAGGAAAGAGAAATAGTAAAGATAATTGAGATTTTAATCTAACAGTATTTGATAGATAAAAATAGACCAAAAAAAAAATAGAATAACATATCCCTTTGTATTTAGCACTCTTTTCCCGGACAAATTTTGTTTAAAAAAAAAACCAGAAATTAAATTAATAAAGAAATTAAGCATGTTCAATAGTTTTTATAACATGTCTAGGAAAGGTTACCGAGCTCAAGTTTTTGTTTTGACTTTTTTTATCAACCCCCATAGGTACATCCGAAAAATAAGCGATCAACTGTAGTGTCCCGTGCATGAAGGGGAAGTACCACATTGATATTAGTGACATTGCTCCAAAAATTATGGTTTTGCATATGACACCTAGCTACTATCATTTGTATAGCTAGATTTAAGAAGTTTGCCGTTGTAATTTGTTCTAAATTAAGTAATTAGTTACGCACAGAGATTATATATCCTCATTGACAATTTCTTGTGTGTATTATTTAATCATTAGTGACTTAATGGACACTGCTATATTAATTATTGAGATGACATCTGATCAGGCTAACTAAAATCGCTATCACCGAAATAAAAAATTGGACTTTCTGGACTCGCAATACAGGATTTGAATCACACATAATTATATTGAAAATGATTTAATGTTTCTCCAAAGGGATAAAGTTATTTTTCTTATGAATCTAAAACGACATCTTTTTATAATTCAGATAAAAAAAATTATAAAGATAAAGATTAATATAGACTCGGTATAAATTAGAATGACAAAAAAATCTTTCTCTTAATTTCAAAATGACATTATTTTGAAGTTATCGAAGATAAGTTATCTCCACTAATAACAGAAACATTACACACATTGAAAAATCAATAAATAAATATAAATATAGGAGTTTTTTTATTGAGATAAGATATTATGCCTATTTTATACATACATATTCTATCTATTTATTTTCAACACCAATTAGATCGTAATCTCAAGAAGAGAAGAGAAAGATGATTTAACCGTGTTTGAGATGAATATATATAATAAACTAAAAAAAAAAAGTAGGCACATTGTCATATAATTTTTTATTTCCCACACTTTATGAGTGAACGACTAATTCTTTCGAATACATATCGTAATTTTTTCACAAGTGGCAGCAAGCATTTTCAAAGGTAGATCTTTTGTGTCTTTTCAAAGAGCACATTTTACTAACTACTACATACTAACCCCCCGTGAATATATTATGGATAGGAAGATGCTATCAAATTTTCAAGCCTTCGTACGCTCCTTAATTTCAGCCATAGGATGAACCTTTTTTTGTCTGTTGATGAACCCAACTCTTTTTTTCTTTTTTTTTGGTTAATAAGAATTTAAGTGAGATTAGATACAGGTATTCCATTAATAAACCCAACTTTTTAGGTTGTGCTACAAAACAAACGAGCATTTCAATGCTCACAATTTCAACAATCATATGGATAGTTTTATTGAGATTAACATAACATTTCATCATTTCTTTTTTTTGTAAACATTTCATCATTTCAATTTCACGTTTTGAAATTTCTATGCACAGAACTCTCGAAAGCTCTTCTATAGCAATTTTTTTAGTACATTATAGCAATTTAATACCAACAAATTACTTGAGCGTTGAAACGCCGGAGTGTTTCCTAGCATTCTCTTAAGTAGTGTTTGGTAGAAGATTTATTTTGAGATTGATGGAAAAGTGTAAGTGGATATTGAAAAATACCACGTTTGGTTCAGTTTTTTTAAAAAATACTAGGCAAATAGGATAGATGGAGAAATGACTTTTGTGTTGATTTTTGGATGAAATTTACTGTTACAGAATACCACTTGAGATGTGGTATTTTGATATAACTGGGGAAGTGAAAAAACAGGTGCGAAGTTTCTCCCGAACATAGATTTTGCAAATTTAAATAAATTTCCCTGGTAATATTTCGGTCAACCAAACAACTTTTTTTATATTTTCCTATCAAACTCATTTTCCAACCATTTCTCTAGTAATTACATTTTCCTAATATTCAAAAAATTTCTCCTCAACCAAACGCCCTTAGTAGATTACATAGTGCAATTTGGCTAGTTCTAAATGTGAGTAATACTGAGTATCAAATATATATAATGAAAATAGACATTTTCTATTATTGCAATTCTATATAAGGTCGAGATCATTTTACACTAGCATAAATTACACTCTCAATTTTGATCGTTGATCCTATTTATATATAATAGTTTTGATTTATTAGATATTTGAGTGTTAAATGCAAACAAATCAATGATCAAGATTTGATGTAAGACTTCTTATTATTATACTGGTGTAAGAACATCTTCCCTTTTTATATAAATTAAACAAGAATTGTTTATCTAAATAAAATTTAATTAACAAAATGATCAGCTTCGATATTCTAACAATCGATCAACACGAGATTTAGCAAAAATGTTTTGGACTCAAACAGTTATGAAAAAATTAATGTACATGAAATGTCTGAAGTTAAAGCGGTTTTTTTTTTTTTTTTTGGTGTTCTCGAGAGTTAAAAGCATTTTGCAAATAATATAATATTTTGACTACTGAATTAATTAAGATAATGAATTAAACTGCTCACATCAGCTAAGTAAAAAATAGGAGGGGGGTGGGGGTGGGGGTGGAAACCCAGCTTCTATGTATTAAAACAAATTTTTTTTTAAAAGAGAGAGATATTCAAATGGAATTACGAATTAATTAAACATGATTGACTATGCTCGCAGGTACATCTTAACAAAAAAATAAAATCAAAAAAGGTTGAGATATATAGTCCCACATTAGTTATATGTGCAACTAATGTGGAGTTTAAGGCCTTAGGCACTCCCACCCTTTGAGCTAGTTTTTTGGGGTGGTGTATCCCAAGGTTCTTTACATGGTATCAGAGTCTCGCCGCCCCTCACTTTCTCTTGTGGTGTGGCGTTTTTTAGCACAGGTAGGTTGGGTCTGTTGCATTGTTCACTCTTCAAGCCCAATGAACTCTCGTATGAGGGGGCGTGTCTAACTTTTGGAGTGGTGTATCTCAAAATTCTTTACAAAATAGCTATCCAAATAGCATTAATTAAGCACATAGAAACACTAAAATACTTGCCTGAGTTCTCTTTCCTAATTCTTCAGTTTAATTTCGTTCAATGTCATCCATTACAATAATCAATTGCATGATCATAGAACTAATGCATTGTATAATAACATTCTTAATATTAATTTTAGTCAGTTTTTCTAGTCCTTTTCTTTTATAAGAACATTATTAGGAAACAGAAGCATAGAATGAGAGAGCTAGAAGGATGCAACACTATGTTCATTGTCCCAGAGGCTGCTTATTAAAGTGAGAATAGATTAGAAGTGGTTGAAGTTAATTAAATATACAGGTGCATTTAAATTTATTCTCTAATAAACTTAGGGAGGGGGAAAAAAAAACTTTGAAGAAGATGAGAGGAGAGAAATTAAGGTTCATCCTTCTATATATATAGTATATGGTTGTACTAATGAATTAGTAGGGAGGCCTGCCCCAAGAAGAATAAGCTTCATGCTTCAGCTGTTGCCCATTTTGAAGAGCCAAATTCGGAGCCATATTATTAATATACATCGGAATCGATGATGAGGCTTCTCCGATGGAAACTCCTCCGCCACTGCCACCCATCCCCGGCGGCGAGCAAACACCATCTTGTCCCTGACCTTCTTGATCATCATCCGCCACCGGTAATCTCTCATAGGTTGCATTAGAAAACGTAGCCGCCATTATCATAACCGGTCCAGCCGCCATCAGCGGACCCACCACCCCGCCGCCGACAACCTGTCCTTGACCTCGGGCTAGGTAAATGGTTAAACCGCTGGCGCCCTGTGGGGACGGTCCAGGCAGGAATGAACCGGTTAACGACAGGATATCGAACCGGCCAGGAAGTGCCATCACAGCGCCGGGCACCGTCGGCTGCCGTAGAGTGACGTTGACGACGGTGCCGCTGCCGCTTAAAACGCAAACACCTCTTTGGCGCCTTCTGGAGAACTGAACCACGCAATCGGCGATGTCAGCTCCGTTTGCTATCTCCATGACATGGCTTCGGAGTGCATTAGGGCTGTCCCTGGTCACAAATATCGGTGGTTTAGGCTTGTTCTTCGAGCCCGATGGACGGCCCCTTGGGCGGCGCGTGGTGGAGAGTTCAATAGCTCCCTCTTTGGGATCATCACTGTTTTCTTTCTCCTCTTCTTCATTCACCAAAGTGTTGTTCATGGAGAAACCCAGATCCGGTTTCTTCATGGATGAAGAGTTCGCGTTCCCAGAGTCATCGACCCCGCCGAGACCCTCAGAGCCGGTCCACCACCGGTTCGCCATAACTGTTTTGAAGTTGAGGTAGAAGAAAAAGTGAAAGGACTCAAAATCTCAAAAACCTAGTTCTTATATGTATATAATAATAATAAATAAAAAAGATAGTGAACAGATATATATATATATACTTTTTGAAACACTGCAAATTTAAGTATTCATATGTAAAACTTAGATCTAGAAAGAAATTAAAGTCTCTTGATTTAGAAGGAAGATCAGAGACACACAACACAGTTAATTAGTAAGGTACTGGTGCGAAGAGGTAAAGGGTTATTTTAAGGTTTGAGTAAACAGAGAAAAAAAATTAAAAAACAAGGTGGAAGAAGGTGGTGATGGATGATGTTGGTTGGGAAAAGCCAATTAGGGTTTCCTTTTAATTTATATTAAACTTTTTGGTGGGATTCTGTGCGGGAGAGAAGGTGGGGTGCACGACCTTGCTCGTGTCCCGACAATAGTGACATACGAGAGAGACAGAAGAAGAAAACTACTTACAAGTTAAATTACTCAATTGTCAATACATACAATTCAAACACAGTTCGGTTTGATGTTTGACCATTTTTGCATATATTGTGATCTATGTTTGGTAAATGTTTTGAAAGGTTTTGTTATAACTGTACTTTTAAAGTTAAAAATAAGAAGTATTAAATAAAGAATAATTTCTTGAATTTTTAATATAATAAATATTGTATTTTTCATTTAATATTTATTATTACTTCACTAATGTTTTAGGTATTTGTTAATAAAACCATATTTCAAATTATATTATAGACAAGACGTTTACACCATCATGTACACGCTTCAATAATCCAATGTCCCAATATTCTTTTCTTTCTTTTTTCTTTTTTGAGAAAATGACCCAATATACTATGAGGTGGGATATTCATACTACCTAATTTTTTTACTATCACTTCACTACCACTTTAATCACCATTGGATTCAAAAGTTGTTTTTCTTTTTTCTCTCTTCATTCAACTTTTCCTCTAATCCAATGGTGATTAAAATGGCAGTGAAATGGTAGTAAAAAAATTAGGTAGTATGAATATCCTACCTCCTATACTATTTGGGGCTATATTTGCTTCTTGTTCTACGCAACAACATAGACTTGATCAATTAACGGATGAGAGCAAGTGTAATGATGGGTGTTTAATTCTAATCTACCAGGTGGGAGGGAACCTTGATTTGATGTTTTAGTTTCAACAAAATTGCAATATGGAGATCTAAAACTGAGTAAAATAGCAGTAATTTAGCCTCCTGGTCTCTTCTAACATAGTTATATTTTAACAGAGAAAATAATGGTGATGGGGCAAACCTGTATTGGCTGAGCTAACTAGTTCAAGAGAGAAGGAAAAAAAAGCCGGTGGGGAGAAATATACGTAGAAACGAAAATAATGGTGCTGGGGCAAACCCACCATCTTTTGATTGTTGCCTAGCTAATTATTTGGGTCCCACACATGAGTATATATGATTCCTTGCATTGCGACTCGCTTTGTCATATGTCATATGTGGATGATTATTAATTAATTAACTCCACCATCTTTTTATTTTAAGGTGGATTGATTCTATTCGATCCTCTGCGCGTTCTTCACTCTTAAGTTTTCCACCAATTTCTGACCTCAAAATCAGAATGAATATACATTAATTAGTACTAGTTAAATATGTTGCCGATTTTGGTTACCCTAGATGCAGGAGGCAATACCAGAGTACTATATATGGTTACTCATTGACTCTGTTGGCAAAACATTTTCCAATGTACTAATCAGAATTTGATGGTTATAATCGGTAAATATATTCCATGCCACGCGATCATTGTGTGACGCCTTTGGTAAATTAAATTAAATATCTATTTCACTCAAAACAACCTGAGATCACATGAATGTTGACAAAATAACCAGTTTTCGTTGTAAAGTGCAGTGGATTTAAAACAAGGATGTATCTCTCAAGGGGTCATCCTAATGTTATGCAGATATCTCTGCAATTGAAAGGTGTGTTTTAGCTATGGTGACTCTAAATCTCAATAGTGTACAACTCGTAAAGTATATGAAATCTTATGCCCCTTCAATGGGAGAAGGGATGTTTATATAGATGAATAAATATTTCCTAAGCTTCAAAGAGAGGAAAAAGCAAAGCACACCGTTAGCCTTGCCTCACTGCTACTGTGAGGCATTTTGCTCCATCGTACGATAAGAGGGGATATCATGTGACGAGACTCTATGACTTTTCATGAAATGTCAAAGTTCTAGACTTGGATCGTTAATATTGAACCCAACTTATTGGGCCCTAAAAGTCTGGCCAAAACAAGTTGACAAGGGGTGTGGTTTGAACCTCTAGCCTTGTTTTATTTGCTTCTTTCACTTTCATTTTCTTTTAAACCGTTTGAAACTTTCTACACCGTCTTCCATATGTTAATCATATTAAAGAATGATATTTGCATTTCAATTATCCGTTAATCTTTTATTTCAAAAGAGATCGAGAGCTAATTAAGTTGGTAGGAGAGCTGTCCACATATTTTAAGTAATGTTATAACCAAAATGTTATGCACAACAACACCAATAATCTCCAAGGATTTCTCACGTGAGTATAAAATCTATCGCGAACTAGAAAATCTACCTTTCATTATCAATGGTCAATTAAAAAGAAAAATTCTCACATTCAATGCTACAAATCCGAAATTAATGTCAGTTAAAGGGTCTCGTCCATGAATCAATTATATATCTAGTTTAAATATTATCTAACTTAACCATTATTCAACTGTTTAAACCACCAAATCTCTCCAATTTACTGTTCAGTTTGTTTTTCAGAACATTGTTGCAAAGCCCCCTTAACAATTTCTCATAGAATTTGGTATCTGTACGTGGGTTTCCATATCCTTTTTTCTCTTGAAAGTTTTTCGCCAAACCTTACTCTATTTTTTTTTCCTTTTCTTTTTCATTTTCTTTTTTGGAGATACTCCAATTAATTCATCACTTCGCGACTAGTCTGATTCGAGGCGGATCTCGAGAGTAAGATTTTAAACTCTTCCCAAAGACAATATTGAAAAAGATTAAACATATGCTCTCACTTCCCATCTGTTCAGTTCTCTGACGTCAACTAAACTGTCATCATTACTATGTCGCTTCTTTTAGCTACAGAGCATCCCAAAAGAACAAACGCCTATTTCCAAAGAAAACTATATTTGACTTCCTGTTAATTATTTAATGCCAACAAAATGTTGGCGTAAATTTATTCTTTTCGTCATCATACACAACAAATTGCAACTTCAAGTTATCCGAAATTCCGAACAATTCATAGATTGATGTATTTTAGTTTCTTTTTAAAAAATTACATCGGGTTGTTTGATTAGAAATTTTAAAGATGTTTAATTGGAGTTGGGTTCAAATTAATCAAATAATATAACTCATTCCAGATAATCTCATATACTATAAAATATAATTAGCTATGTTAATTGTACTCTACACGGACTAATTTCCCATCTCATGTGTGAAGACATAATTTCCTCTGTCCAATTCCCATTGTATGATTAGTATTCATATGGTGTCAGTTAATCAGCTAAATTACTTACTATGAAATTTCACAATTAATTAAATGATAAAAATCATTTAATTTATTTTCATTCTACTAATTTTCAGATTCTAATTAAATAAATAGTTGGATTGAAATTGTCAAAATATTATCTTTCTTAAATTTAAGGAGAACATCTCAATTATCATACACGCCTAGGAGATTTAGTATATTTCCCCAGTATAATAAAATAAGATTTTTGTTTTTAAGAATGAAATAATCTCCTATTGTATTATTTACATTGTTAAAAAGTACTTCTCATTTATATTTGTGTTTTTCTTTATCACCCATCAAATACAATATTTAAATTCCTTATTTTTTGGCTTTTTGACCCTTTTGCCCCTCATTAATTAATTAATAACAATTTTGTCTCTTACCCAAAATTATCCACCAATCTGCTCCTCTTTAATCGATTAGCTTAAATATTTAAATGGTCAAAGTACGCAAAAAACGTTGACCCGAGGTTTAGTCGATTAAATATCCCTCTTAATCGATTAAATCTCGGGAAATTTAATCAATTAAGCCTATTAGTTAATCGATTAAATGTCGTCTAATGCGTTTTTAACCCCCCCCCCCCCCAATTTAGCAGAGGGAGTTATTTTGAAACCCTAATAGATTAAGGAGGAGAAAAGGCTACAACTCCGAATCCAGCTCCACGAATCTTCGTCCAAGCGTGTGGATTGCGAAGACAAGGTCTTCTACAAGCTTCTTCATCCTCCACGGTGAGTTTTCTTCGTTTTGCAACATTTTTTTTATTTTCGGATTTAATAAGTGTGGACCGAATGGGTAGGGGGTTTGTTCGATTGGCATGATATATAAGGTCGTTTGATGTTTTCATGGTTGTGTAGTTATGTGTTTTGATGAATTTAGGGTTTTGTTTAGGGTTTTTTAAGTTTTACTTTTTTTTGGATGAATTTTCTTCGTTCTAAAATGGCTCAATTTCAGAACCTACGTCTAAATTATTACTTTTCCGTCAGTACCAATAATAACACAAAGATGAAATGTTAAATTAAAACTTTAATTTACTATCTTACCACTGCTAATTGGATCAACACGAAGTGGTGGCATAACCGGGGAGCTTGGGTTTCCTGAGTTTGTGTTAGTGTCAAAATCACCCACCCTCCACGTCAGTATCTGAGGTGTCACCTAGTGGAATAACACTCTCAGGTTCACCTTCCTTATCACTCTCCATATCCTCCTCGTGCTCATCCTCATCTATATCCCTCAATGTTATCTGACTTATGACAGGTGCAGGTGTAGATAAATCGACGACTCTGTCTTCTTGACCAAAATATTGTTCACTTCTTGTATGCATGACTGCATATGAAGATTGACCACAATCAATTTCAACATATATCTCAATAAAATTTTAAAATTTTGAGTAAATACTCTTTTTGGTCCCTAACAAAAAACACGGTCCCCACTTTAGTCCCTTACAAAAATAAATTAGTCAGTTAGTCCCTAACAATTTCAAAGTGGACCCATTTAGTTGAAATCGTGGTCCCTCACAAATTAAAAAAAGACCCATATTAGTCCCTCAAAAGGACTAAAATGGGGTCCACTTTGAATTTGTTAGGGACTAACTGACTAATTTATTTTTGTAAGGAACTAAAGTGGGGACCGTGTTTTTTGTTAGGGACCAAAAATGATGTTTACTCTAAAATTTTCGATCAACAAAAGCATCTATGGCACATTCCACGTCTTCATCATCACATATATCGTTGCTAATGTAGTGTATATAGCATCCTTACCAACTATAGACTCTACCTGGCTATCGTCCGCTGAATGCATTGGCTGCCTTGTAGCCTCAATTTTTGGTGAATTCTCCCCTTGAGCTCGTTGTATGTAGGGCCCCGTTTGATTTTTCAACTTTTTCATTTTTCCTTCAAACTGAACACCGTTGGGACCTTCATAATGCCTTCCATCGTGGTAGATCACTGTAACATGCATGTTTGGACTTGAGCTCATCTTTCATACAAATTTGAGACTAGGGTTCGAATTTTTGGGATTTGGGTTCGGATTTTGGGGGCACCAAAAGAATATATAAGTGCAATGATAATGATTTCACAAAATTAAGGCTTTAGAGATGGTGGGATGAAATAGAATCTTGATTGCAAGGATTACAGATGACAAACAAGAGAGATTTTGGTTTACAAAACGAGAATGTTTGAAATGAGACTGAGAAGGGGCAAAATATAGGGTTTTGACCGAGGTTTAATCGATTAATATATAACGTTTTAATCGATTAAATTTCCTGAGATTTAATCGATTAAGATGGATTTTTAATCGATTAAACCTCGAGTCAACGTTTTTTTACGTACTTTGATCATTTAACCGATTAAATATTTAAGCTAATTGATTAAAGAGGGGCATGTTGATGGATAGTTTTGGGTAAGGGACAAAATAATAATTAATTAATTAATGAAGGGCAAAAGTGTCAAAAAAACCCTTATTTGTTACATACTCCCTTTCAATTTTTTGTCATCTGTTCTTAAAATTTAATATTTTTTAAAAAAAGTGTTTTCAATTTTTAAATGATATTAAAAATAATTATTCTACGAAATTAGAGTCTTAAAAAATTAAATCCATGATTTGCTCTTTCTTAATAAAAAATTATACATGTCTTCATTACCAAAAAAAAAAAAAGTATACATGTCTTCTTAATTTTGTTATCTCTTAAAATTTCAAATTTAAATTATTTTAAAAAGTAATTTCTTAAAATATATTGTTAACATTCAATTTAAATTACTTAATATTATACATATGTATGATACAAACTTTTGAAAACTATAATTATATAATTATTATTTGGAGAAAATATTTGTTCGTTTAAAGGATATAATCTTGTGTCATTTTAGATCCTAACCGTTAATTTTCGTCAATGAAAGATTATAATTTATTGGGTCAAAATTATTAATTAATTAATAATAAATTTGGCCCAATAAATTGTAACAGTTAATTAACGAAAATTAACAATTATGATTTAAAATGACATAAGAGTATATCCTTTAAATTTCTCTTATTATTTACATATATTTATTTATTACTTTTTTTTAATATCGTCTTGTTGACTCTTTGAGTATTACAAGTTATGAGTTTGCTTTAATAAAAACATTAACCACACCTACAGATAGGGGGATACTGCAATTTGCATTAATGTTTCGTTTAAAGTTTAAACAAAAACGACAGAAGCGCAGCGTGACGTTATTATTTGGAGTTACGACTAGTTGGAGGTGTCGTTGGGGCGGTCCTTCCCCGTAATCGGTGACGCAGTAACGGCGAGAGAGAGAGAAAGAGAAAGAGAGGGCATCGGTGATGGCAGACAATCTGTTTGATGGATTGCCCCCTCCTTCTTCAAACACTCTTTCTCTTCAACACGAAGAACCACAACCACAACCACAACCAAAACCAATTGTTTTTGTTGCTACCAACAACAACAAGAAGGAATCATCTGCTGTTTCGGCACCAAAGCCAATCCTCAAAAGTGCCCTCAAGCGCCCTAACCCTACTCAATCCGAAACCCAAGGTCACTTCTTCTTTTACCCTTTTAACTCAATCTGTTATTTCGAGCTCTGCTTTTAAGCAATTCTTGCAATTTTCTTTTTAAATAAAGCATGGCACCCTAGGGTTACTCATTCAAGCAATTAATTCTATTGAACAGAGTGTTTTTTTTTTTTTTTAATTTCCAGCTTTCTTGCTGAGAACCCTAATTAGATAGGCTTAACGGTCATTTTCTCTCGTCTCTTTTGCCTTTTATGTTTCGACTTTGAAACAAATTGAGGGGAATGAGTTTTCATCCGATACTAGTTTAGTTCCATGTTCTTCCCACGTCGGATTGAGGAAATGTACGCATTGAAAGAATAGAATGCAGGAGATGTGCACATGCCACATGGTGAGAAGAATTGATAACATACTCATTTCCCAGTCAATCGGGCTGCAAAATCAGCTACAAGACCCAGCTTTTACTTTATCTATATATGATTTTCTCTCACCTTTGGGATGAATTGTTGGGGTCATAGAATAAGCCAATGGTTAGAGACATGGATTGAGTTTTTTCTTGGAATTCTCTGAATTTTTTTATTTTTATTTTTATTTTTTTTGTTTCACACCTAGAACTTAATTAATTCCTGTCTTTAATATTCAATGGGATAGGGCTTTGTTGTTGATGTTGTTATTGTTATTGTTGTTAATGAGAACTTAAAGTTGATTATGGAAGGTATCTTAATTTTAGTATTCCTTGCATTGTTTTATCAGAACTCTATTTGAGCTTACCTTGGTTTATAGTGCTCCAATACAAATAAATAAAAATTTGGTTTACTTTTCTCCTGGTTTCAAGGAATGCTGGTATATTTTGCAGTTATTGCTTGTATATTTACTCCCATAGTTCCATACCTGTTTTAAATGATGGAGTTTATATTCTTCTGAAGTATGAACCTACGTTATCCATTGTTATTTCAGCTACAGCAACTAAAAAAAGCTTGAAATTTAAAACGGTGACGGATGCTTCTGAAGCACAAGTTATTGAGGCCATGGAGAAGATATCTTCACACATCAAGAACCCTGCAAAGTTCAGTAAGGCTGCGAAACTTGCTGTACAGCTGATTCAAGCAGGAAGTGTAAAGTCCGGAATTAGCGATAATTTTTTTTCCATATTAGAAGCTGCAATGTCATCATCCATACCTTGTACAGATCCTTCAGTACGGTCAGATTATCATTCTCTGTTCTCAGCAGCACAAATCACAAAAGAAGTAAGATTAACATTTTGTTCAAGATATTCATTGCTAGCTGTTTAGAGAGAGTACGTTAAGGATTTCTTGACCCACTTCCTGTCCTTTAATTGTAGCTCCTTAATAAGAAGCAAAAGAATCAGCTGGCAACATGGACAATTAGTGCTGTGGTGGCAAACGATTTATATACAGATGACAGCTTTGTGGTATGATTCTCACTAAACTTTTATGTTAAACTTGCTGACAACAACTGTTGTAATTTTTTTCTTATTCGAGGCAATGAGAAACTTATTGGAATGGTACGCAACAAGTTTTGACATTTAATTCTGCTTCTATCATCACAAAATGAAAGTATGCTGTCATAGTTGTACAGTTCTTTTCTTTGTATGTAATTCATCATATTCATGCACCATCTTTATTGCTTTGATGTAGCTATCTTTGAAGTTGTCATTTCACATATTAATTCATTAGTTTCCCATGTACATCAGTTGTGACTAAAGATGGATCTAAATGTGTCAATGTAATCTTTTAAAGATTTGATTTTACTGACAGAAATCAAGACATTTTAAAGGAAAAAATCTTCTTGAGGGTTTGGGTTACTAAGATTAGTTGTCGAGTGGATGACTGATTGATAAGTATCATTATCCCCAATACAGACATCCACTGTGTTCACCCATGCCATGCTTTTTTGTGACAGATGCATAGTGCAGCATGGGAGTGCATCGATGCATGACATATGTTACCTCTTGAATCATTGACGTCTAGGCTGACTCCAATGGTAAAAATGTTTTGTTTTTGGGTAGTGGAAGTTTGGTTTAGTTGTAAGTTGTAACATTGTTTTAAGTAGTGATAGATTTTTATAATTAGACCATTGAATTCCTGGCTTGACACTGCTAGCTGATACTTTGGCTTCATGTATTTGTGGAGAGACTATTAATGCATCAAATTCATTGCTGTAAAAAACATCTGGAGTTTTTTTATATGTAATGTGTTTATCTTTTCCTTAGTCACCAGATTAGATTTGGGATATTGTTGCCTATTTTAATCTTATTCTATTTATCTTAATATTTGGACCCATAACGATTATCTATTTGTTGATCATGTTTCATTTCTTAATTTTTAATACAGTTTTCTAAAGCAGCTGGACAAATCAAAGAAGCTATATCTAACCTTCCTGTTGCAACAGAGGAGGATGATGCAGAGGAAGCAATGTCTCTGAAAGATAGCACAGTTGTGGTAGATGAAGGTGGTCAAATGCTTGCCACAGCTGAGGATAATGATGGGGAGGAAGCTGACCCATTTGGACTTGATGCTCTGATTCCCGGATCCGCAAAGAAAGGTGAAAAATTAAAGGCAAAGAGTGAGGCAGCTGTGAAGACAAGGAAGGAGGATGAGGAAGAAGCTAAGAGATTCCTCAAGCCACAAAGAGAAGCTCTGATAACTGGTTTAGAGATTGCTGCTCGGCGATATAAAACACCGTGGTAAATGCTTGTGCTGTTTTCTGTTGTATTTTTCTTTTGCATATGTTTTGTCATTTTGACATTATTTGTATTTTTTTGAGTTTTCTCTATCCAGGTGTCAAACCGTAATTGATATTTTAGTGAAGCATGCTTTTGATAATGTGTCAAGATTTACAGCTCGTCAGAGGGATGCCGTTGGTAAATTGTGGGCTTCCATACGGGAGCAGCAAACTCGTCGGAAGCAAGGGAAGTCAGTCAATGGAAAACTTGATGTAAATGCTTTTGAATGGCTTCAACAAAAATATGCTAATGAGAAGATTAGCATTCGACACTCTGTTGGAGCTAGCGGAGATCGTCGTGCCCAACAATGGCTTGGTTAAATTTTCTTGTGACCTTTCTTTTAGAGTAATTGAGGGGATGATGGCAACTTCAAATTTGTCAAGAGGAGGGCAGAGGACGCGTCCTTGTCACTTGATTGGTAGTGTTGTAAGTTGTAACTAAAGAGGTCTCAGAAGTCTCTCCTGACTGAAACAGTTTCCGCAAGACATGGTAACTTAAAAATTGTGATTTGCCTTCCCTTTTGTTTTTTTACAATAGGTTATTAATTTGTTTCCAAAACTCGAAATCATATTTTGCAAATTGTGCTAAGCCATCTTGGGATAAATGGGTCATGCTGCTGTTACGGGTCAATCGTCCAATCTATATCATGGCAGACTTGCCTAGGTGTCAAAACGAGTCAATACGATAGAAATACACGTAACAGGAACACATTACAAACTTTTATTCGTATCAGAATTTTCAACACAAACACGATATGAGCTTTTTGTGGGTTGACATGACTCGACATACAAATTATAAGTCAAAATGGTAATTGGTAAAAAAAAAATTAAAAAAATAGGTCGAAATAAAAAAAAAATTAAAAAAAGTATGGGTCGAATTCGTGTTGACATGATATAACTCGTGACAAGATACAAATTTTTTGTAGGTCATTCTTTCAACACGAATACGATATAAATTTTTGTGTCATGTTGTGGGTCGACTTGTGTATCATAATTTATTTTGACAAACCTAACTTAATATATTCAATAAAGTAAAACAAGTTTAGGCCTTAAAAAAGTTTTCTTTAAAACGCTGGTCATAAGTTTATTTTTACAACACATGGGCTATAAGTTTATAAATCAATTTATATAGTATTATTTATTTTAATTAAATAATATAAAATATTTCAATAAATTATTTAATAAAATAATATCATTTTATTTACATTTTCTAATATTTGATAGATATAGAAGATTTAATAAGTTTTTTTTTTTTGTATAAAAGATTTAATAAGTTTAAATAAGCAAACATACTTATTTAGTTCTTTTGATTTTTTAATATAGGTTAGTTTTATATTTTTAAGTTACGGGAGGCTAATAGGTTAGACTAAGTTTTAGGGTGTGCATGACAATTTTATGAGAATCAATCTTTTTTTTAATTTATGTTTCCGAGAACAGAAATGGACAGAAAACTCATTTGATAAAATCGATTTATTTTTTTGTTCCTGGAATGAGCCGATTTAATTATTGTCCTGAGGAACAGAAGAAAAAAATCAAAAAAATTCTGCTTTTTTTGTTCCTGGGCACAAAATGAGAAACACTTATTTCTCTCAATTACTTTCTATCACCATCATCATCATCATCATCATTATCATCACTACCACCATCCCAACGCGACCACCACCACCATATGTTGTCGTCGTTGTACCACCAATGTCATTGTCACCACTACCATGACGATGCCACCGTCACAACCACCACCACCACGATATCATCACCACCATCGTCACCGTCACCACCACTATTGCCATCTCCATGCCATTGCCACCACCACAACGCCACCACTTTCACTACCGCCACTAACTACCACTGTCATCGCCGCAACGACTGCCATTACCATCACCACCATGCCACCACCACCATCACCAACCACCACCATTGCCGCAGTTAGGGGTGAAATTGGGTCGGGTCGTCTTACAGGAGCCTACGGCTCGGCCTACGTCAGGTCAGACCTGACCTAGTATATTTCATAAAATAAGCCGTGATTAGACCTTGAAAAAACTTGTTTAATAAATAGGTCGTAGGCCCACTTTCACAAGGCATGGCCTATAAGCCTACAGGTCGACCTATATTGTACTATTTATTTTAAATAAAATAAATACAATAAGTACGCCTCGAAGAAAAAACAAAAGATATAAATTTAATCAGTTGTAATTATCTATAACTTCATTATATTCGATTATATTTTAATAGAAATCTGAATTTATTTCTTATGTAGGAGGAACTAACATCTCAACATGTTAGATTGTGTATATGAATATATTAAAAGGTTTTTGCGAGAGGTTATACTTACTACAAGCATCATGATGTGTTTGTTGGATTCATGTAATTATTTTTAATTTACATAGAATGAATTTGTTTGTTGGATCTGATAAAATATATGTTATTTAATTCAAGTATTTTGCTTTTAAAAGTGACTTAAATGCAGATTGTGATGAATTTTGTTGTGATTCATGATTCTGTTTGGACGTTGAAATTCTGATTTTTGGTTTAGGAATTTGAATATTTTGTGAAGTTGATTCATGGTTCTGCTTTAAAGTTAAAAATTAACAGGCTAACGGGCTAGGCCAGGTCATTTATTTTTTTATAAACGAGTCAAGTCAAGCTAATAGTTAGACTCGTACTAGGCTTGGGTCAAGTCAAATTGAATTTTTTTGGCATAGGCTTGGGCTTTTCGGGCCAATGCTTGACCCAGTTCAGGCCACTTTCACCCCTAGCCGCAGCCACTGCCATCACCACCACCACTACCACCACCACTGTCGCCATTGCCACCACCGTCACTAGCCACCACTTCCATCACTGTCACTAACCACCACTATCATCGTCATAGCCACTGTCATTACCACCACCACCGTCGCAGACACTGCCATCACCACCAGCACCACGCTACCACCACCGTCACCAACAACCACCATGTCACCACCACCACTGTCACCATTACCACCACCACTATGTCGCCACTATTACCACCACCATCACTGCAGTCACTACCACTACCATCTTGCTACCACGTCGCCTCCACCACTACCACACCTACGGAAAGAAAAGTGATAATCCGAAAAAAAAATTATGTTTAATAGGAATTATTTTTTATTATATTATTTGTTGTGTTATCAAACACAATTCTCATTCTCGAAATAAAAATAGAATATGTTATCAAACACATTTTTTTTCTCAAAAATTGTTCCAAGGTACATAAATAGAAAAGAATTGTTTCTTTTCAGAAACAGTATCAGGAAATAAAATAGTTGTCATGCACATATATGCTTGACTGAAGTTTAGTCTAACTCAGATGATTTACACCAATAATAAAAGTGAAAGTAAAACTCTCTTAATAGGATTTGATTCTGAAATCAAGATTCTGTTTGATTGTGTTTTGTGTTTTTTGTTCTTCAAATTTAGACATGTTCTTTAAATTTGATTTTAAGAACAAAATAATTATTACAATTTTTAGAATTATTATAATAAAATAGATCTTATCAAACAAGTTTTTTTTTTCTTCTAAAAATCAAAAAACTATTTTTAAGAATACTATTCAAAGAGTCTCCAAGTTAGTTCGAAAAGACTCTTAGCAGTCATTTCACTCTCCTCTTGGGCGGAGTTAAACTAATTTAGACTAGACATAAAAGAGAAAAGTGTCCAAGGACTTCAATTTTGTTGTGATATGAATTTCAACTTCAAAATTTATCAATTAAGGAGTTTCATGATTAATAAAGGACCTTAATTGTAATAAATTTTTTTACTAATATTTACTTATTAAAAAAAATTAAGACATGTATACAATTTGTTTTGCAGAAAAATATTTCTGCAGTTACGTAAGTTATCTGCATTTATTCTTAAAGCGACGTCGTTTTGGATTGAAAGATTAAAAAATTATAATTATAAAGATTATAATAACCCTGAAATAAATTAAAATTACAAAATTACCATAATTTCTGCCCCAAAGTGACCGCAGAAAAGTCGAACCCTTTGTTTTGCTTATATTATTACTTTTTTTTGTTTATCGAGTTAGATGTTTTTATCTTTTAACATTTTTATTATAAAGATTATATTTTGATAAAAATGACGTCAATTATTGCTAATAATAGAAAGTTTAATTCCTTCATTTGTTTACCATAAAAAAATTAATTCTTAGAAGAATACTCGAATGTAAAATGATATAAAAATAATGGACTCTTAATTGAAGAGTAACGTACTTGCACTGTCTTTTCTGCCTCTTATTTTGAAGCTTGAATTAATTAAGAAAAAAAAAATGTCAAGGACTCAAGACTCGAGCAATAAAGTGAATGTTTGTTTTGATTAATTTTTATTATTATTATTATTATTACTATTACTATTATTATACATGTATCCAAAATCCTAATGGACTTGATTAATCTGATTTTGGGTTTGTGATTCCTCGTCCTCCCCCAAGAATTGCAACTTTCTTTCGTAAGTTAAATCCTAAAATCTAGTTGGATTGCTATTAAACCAACAAATTCTTGGATATACATATTATGATTTTTGATGATATGTGTTTTTTGGAACTGAATGGATAAATAAAGGCCCAAGCCCAACCAACCAGCCAAGTATCAGAAACTGGAAAACCCTAAAACCCTAATCTCTGGTTAAAGCGCCTCTTTCATTCAATTCAACAATCAACGTCAGGCTCGGGCCAAGGTACTTCTCTAAACTTCACCGTCTCCTTTGTGAATCACTTCGCCTCTCTCTCTCTCTCTCTCTCCCATGAAGGATTCTTCTTTGACAGTGCACATATCGAAGGCTTGCAGGCTCTGTTTCGAAGCCTGAGAGCTCAAAGCTTGTGCTAAATCGTTTCTCATCCACTTCTATCAGATCCTCCTGCTCTACTTATGCTTGAGGATTTTGTTAATGTCGATGAACATTCTCTATCTTACCCATTCTATTTTGATTTGTTTCGTATTTGTTGCAGTTTTAGACTTTAGTTACCTATAATGGGTTTATTATGATTTTTTTTGTTTTTTTGTTTTTGGATTATTTTCCCCCTCACAAGGGAGCAGACAATCTTTTCAAGTGAAACATGTTCCCTTGGATGATTTATTTGACACACACTCCCACTGTGCGTGCTTATGAACGGTCTTGTGCTGATTACTTCTCAAATCAGGACATAACATAAACATAAGCTACATCTACTGTTGCCACCTTGTTTTTTTTTTTTTTGGTGTTTTTAGCCTTAAGCTCAAAACCTTTCTTAGGAAAAACACTTCTACATTGTGGCAAACATTGTAATTCCTACCTTTTTTTTAAAAGGAAAATAATTGGCTCTGTTTGGAATATGAATATATATATATATAATGATATTTTTTTCTATTGTAATCTGTGTAGGAAATTTCATTGTAGAGGGGTGATCGATATGTCGAATCCAAAAGTTTTCTTTGACATTCTAATTGGAAAGATGAAAGCTGGGCGAGTTGTAATGGAACTGTTTGCGGATGCCACTCCTAAAACAGCTGAAAACTTCCGAGCCCTGTGCACTGGGGAAAAGGGAATTGGAGTATCTGGGAAGCCTTTGCACTACAAAGGATCCAAATTCCATCGCATTATTCCAGAGTTCATGTGTCAAGGAGGAGATTTTACCAGAGGGAATGGGACTGGAGGAGAGTCAATTTATGGCTCTAAGTTTTCAGATGAGAATTTCAACCTCAAGCATACAGGGCCTGGTATTCTTTCCATGGCCAATTCTGGACCCAATACGAATGGTTCTCAGTTCTTTATTTGCACTGCGAGGACTTCGTGGCTTGATGGAAAACATGTTGTGTTTGGAAAAGTTGTTGATGGCTACAGTGTGGTGAAAGAGATGGAGAAGGTGGGTTCAGCGAGTGGGACGACATCCGAAACTGTTGTAATTGAAGATTGTGGGCAGATAGCAGAGAATTGATGCTCGAGTAATGTTGTGGGATATGATAAACTTGGATTACTGCTCAATGTTATAAACGGTTTTTGTGCTACTGTTGTATACAACATACTTGGATGATAATATGCTGGTTGATGATTTATGAATTAGCAGTCAATCTTTCGTTTGGTCTTTCTGTCTTTGGTTGTAATCTATCAATTGATTCAGTTCAATTTTCTAAAATCTGAATTCAACTGCCCGCTAGGCAAACCCTTAGTTGCGACTAGCCATCTTCCCTCTATATGATTGCATAATCTCTCCCTCATTTACATAATATGTCCCATTGACTTACCTATTACAGCGAATCAATGAACATAATCAAATATTTAAAGGTACCAACATAGAAGCGCTTAAAAATTCGCATCTTCGTCTTTCCACTTTGTTTTTGGGTGCTGCGATATTCTAAATTATTTACTCCAATCATCAAGACAAAGCTTTATGAATAAACACACCAGTAAAGAAAGTAGCACTAAAAGCGAAGGGAACAAGGGTGAAGGAAAGAGAAACATCTGCAAGAAACCATGTAGCACTGAAAGTGAAGGGAATAAAGGTTCAAGGAAAGAGAAACAACCGCAAGAAACCTTAGCATTGAGACATGTATGGAGAGGCAGGCGGGAGAAATAAGCATACTGAAGACGGCTCAGATAGATATTTATATCACCATAAACGATACGATACATATTCATAATTGGTAAAGAAAATCACAGTAATGATAATTAATATTAATACCAACTTTTTCATCCAGACACTTGCACGAAAGAGTTTATACAAAACGCAGTTCAATCATACAATTCAGCGCGAATCCCTTCTCAATGTATAATTATTGGTCAAGAATTAAGATAAATTTCTCGTGAGATATATATAATGCATGAACAATGGAGCATAAGTTATATTGAACCAAAAACAAAGACGACTAACCGGAACAGGTAGATGCTAAAGTAAAGAAAACGTACAACAGTAAACAAAAACGATTAAATCCTTATAATAAGTAAGCAAAACAAAAGGAAATTGCAAGTAATCCCAAAACAATATAACCATATTTCGTATGACTAAACTTTCGGAATCTTTATTTTATAGAATCATGGAATGTAAGGTATCAAATATCAATCTTCATTTCCAACAATTAGCATCCCATTACACTGTTGCCCGTTCCATTCCTTTCAGTCCCAATCCTCCTCACTCAATTGATCATCATCCGATTCTTTAGGCGGCCTAACAACCAACAACACAATTCCTAAACTCTCATCGACACCAATTTCCTTCAGCGCCAAACCCCTCTCCACTCTTAAACCATCACCATTACCATCATCATCAACATCAGCTTTCACCAGGTAAAACCCATCATCAGCAGCTACCTCCCTCTTGCTCCTGTCAACCACCACCAATATAGGCTCCTCCTTATACCACCTATTCGCCTTCCAAGGCAACATCCTTGCATCCCTAAACGACACAACAACACCCCCTTTTCCCAAACCCACAACAGGATCCCATCCAGGCAACACCACCCACCTCTCCCACCCTTTTTCCGCCACCACCACACCAAACTCCCCTTCACTCCTGCACTCAAAGGGTGCCTCCAAAACCTCCCTTTCCCTCTCCTCCGCCTTACAAACCGGCAAAACAACCACCGAGCTCGCCTCCGCCACCTCACCAATCTTCAACCTCACCACAGGAACACGCACAGTTATTTCGGCATCATCGACCTTATCTTCCACCGCACCACCCTTCCCATTCAATTCCTCCAAAACAGCATTTTTAGCACTCTCGGTTTCGGCAACACGCAGAGCCTGCTCCAACGCAGAAGTTCTCTGGTCAGAAGGGTTTCTATGTTCCCTACTCTGTCTATAATACATAAAAGAGAGACAATCACCAGGGAGAGAATAATCAAAGCACTCCCATTCCTTCTCGCCACGCCTGCTAGGAAAATCCTTCATGGCACGTGCGAGTTCTTGAGCAGCCTTGCCATCAAACTTGTTCTGGACGATGAAGCGTGCAGCAGAGGAACGCTGGGACGCACTCAGGAGGCGAATTTCGTAGAGAAGTTCAGCTCCGCTGGTGTCGAAGGCGAAGAGAATTTCAGGGTCGGCGTTGGATTGAACAAGAGAGTCGCGAACTTGGGCAGCGACTATGAGGCGATTCTGTTCAACCCCGGAAATGCCAGTGGCTTCTTCAATGGAAGGAGGGGAAAAGCCTTCGCGGATGAGGGAAGGGATGAGTGGGGCGTACTCATACCAGAGGCCGAGACGGTTGGATAGAATCTCGATGCGACCTGCGATGTCGAGGGTGCCGTATTGGTTGGGGATTGGAGTTGGGGGAGGCCTGAAGGGTTGGTAGAGTTGTTGCTGTGTGTTGGATGAAGGTTTTGAAGAAGGGATGAGAGTTGCTGAAATGGGCTTATGGAAATGGGAACGGTGGGTGGAATTGAGATTGAGAGTGTTAGTGAGAGAGGGTGAGAATGAGAGTGAGAGCATGGTGTGCAAACAAACTGTGTCAAGTGTGTGAGAGTTGGAGTTGCGTGCCTTATCTATCTCATACCACCTTCTTACTTGGATAGATCCCCTTCCTTCATTTACCTCCTTGTTCCTCACAACAAAAATATCTTTGTCTATACTCATGAGAGGTTTACCAGTTTAGCTCATTATTCATTTTTTTTTTAATTGTTTTTAAAAATTACGAAGTATTTGTCTAATTTGTCAATTAAGTTAAATATTGTGATTTAAGTTAAGGAAGATGTTACTTGTAGATAATATTTTACTAAATCAACTAACAGAATTCATTACTTTTTCGTATTTTTCTTTAATTAAGAGGGAAAAGTGTTTATTCTTCTAAATGACACAACTTATATCCTTTCACTCTCACAAAGAGATGGGATCCACATCTTTATTTTTTTTGTCAACTCTCTCTTCTCTTTTATCTATCTTTTTCTCTCTCTTGAAATGACACAATTTTACATCTTTAAAATGGTACACACTTTTTCCTAATTAAAATCAATGACGCCACTAATTTTATGAGAGTTATTTGAATAAATCTTTAGTGCATTAGATACACTGAAGATTCAGTATATCTGTTTATTTATTTTGTGATAAGTGAATAAAACATATCATATCATTTACTATTTTTTAAATGATGTGGTGTTTTTATTTATATATCATAAAATAAATGAACAGATGCGCTGAGTTTAATACATTTGATGCACTAAAAATTTATTTGAGTTATATAAATTGAGTACTCAAGAAACCAGAATTTAATCTGCCTATTGAAATCATTAATCAACACTAAAAAAGTAAGCCAGTTTATCAACAATCATTGCTGCAAATAATAATTCTCCTTTATTAAAAGTTTTGAATTGAAATTTGAGAATGAAAAAAAATAGAATAATTGGATAAACAATAAACTGATAGATATATCCAAAAAATTTACCAAAAAAAGAAAAGAAAGATATATCCAAAAAAAAATTAAAAGAAAAAATCACAGTTTAAAGAATTAAAACCAGACACGTTTACATATGTATACAACAATGTTTTATTATTTTAATTTTTTAAAGCATATTTATTACAACTACTTATTATTGAGTGAAACAGTGAAGCATATTTATACACAAACATATAAAGTTTAGCACATGTTATTGTTCCTAACTCTTTATATAATTATAAATACATATTTCTTTGGTGTTTATAGACTAACTATATATATTTATCTTGTAAAAAAAAACTATATACATTAATTGTAATACTTATTAATTTAATACTACAAGAGTATTTTTATTTATTTATTTTTTTAAATCAAATACACACCCTGCAACTTATAGTTTTTGACAATCAAAACGGTGCGTATGGAGATGTGGCTGCCGAGTGCGGGCTATTTGACAACCTTGCTTCCAAGTTCCTAGTCATGTTCCAACATCGTGCTAAGTAGGGTTTGCAATTTGCAGAGTTCAATTTTTCGCATTCATCGAGCGCCATCCATACAAGATCCAACTAACACACTTTTGGTAACTCGCAATTCTGAATCAGATGGTTCAATTTTTTGTTAAATGATTTTTGTTTATGACGCATCGCAATTCCTTCGCTGCTTCTTTTTGGTAACTCGCGAAACTGAATCAGATAGTGCGACTCGGTTCAATATTTTTTGTTCCTTGTTTCCAATTTCAAGCTCAATAGACTAAAAGCCAAATATTACATAATTCTGAATCTTTCCCCTCAAAATATTTGAAGAATGTCAGGAAAATAATAATAATAATTAATTAATGTTCTTCTTGCCTCTTTCTGAATACTTTGAAATTAACTGCATTCCAAAATTTGGAAAAATTATGATACTTGTTCATGCATGGAGTCATAAGCTGCTTATATTATATTTGTGTTGACGCTTCATTCTTATTTGGTTATAGGTATTAGAACAATGGCTGAAGATCTGGTGCTAGATACTGCAATCAGAGACTGGGTGCTGATCCCTCTCTCTGTGGTTATGGTTCTCATAGGTGTGCTCCGCTATTTTGTCTCTAAGCTTATGCGCTCTTCTCAAACTCCTGATGCCAAAATTGTTAAAGAAGGGTATTTCCCCGACCTTTATTCACCAGTTGACTTTGAAGCTAGTTTTTTTTTTTTTTTTTTTTTTCCTTCTTAATTTGATATCAAAATGGTGATATTAATCCAGGCAAGTGATCCTTAGAGCTCGGAATTTACGCGCAGGAGCAAATTTTATTCCTTCAAAGGCTTTTCGTGCCCGCAAGATTTATTTTTGTAACGAGGTTAGTTTGCTTAGTGTATATTCTAGTTTTTCTCAAGGTTTAAATATAGGGATAATTGATTCAGCCATATGCCTTGTGAGGTTTCTTGGCTTGTGTTGAGATATATAGTCCCACATTGGTTGTATGTGCAACTAATGTGGAATTTATGAGGCCTTGGGCACTCCCACCCGTTGAGCTAGCTTTTGGGGTGGTGACCTCGAGGTTCTTAACATGGTATCAGAGCCTCTCGCCGTCCCCCACTTTCTCTTGTGGACTTTCTTAGCACAGGTAGGCTGGGCTTGTTGCATCTTCCACTCTTCAAGTCCAATGGGCTCTCATGTGAGGGGGCGTGTTGAGAACTAATGTGGAGTTTATAAGGTCTTGGACACTCCCACCCTTTGAGCTAGCTTTTTGGGTGGTGTATCCCAAGGTTCTTTACATGGTATCAGAGCCTCGCCGCCTCCCACTTTCTCTTGTGGAGTTTCTTAGCACAGGTAGGCTGGGCCTGTTGCACTGTCCACTTTTCAAGCCCAATGGGCTCTCGTGTGAGGGGGCGTGTTGAGATATATAGTCCCACATTGGTTGTATGTGCAACTAATGTGGAGTTTATAAGGCCTTGGGCACTCCCACCTTTTGAGCTAGCTTTTGAGGTGGTGTATCCCAAGGTTCTGTACAGCTTGGAACCTTGAACTTATATGCTTGTTTGTACTCAAACTTTGTTTTTCTGGATTATTTGGAGGATAGTTGGTGAATAAATTTCAAATTTGACATTTTAACAAGAGCTCTAAAACTCATCACAAGTTAATAACTCTGTCATGAGCTTTGTGCTGTATCTTAAATCATCACATGCAATACCAATTCAACAGGGAACTAATTGTTTCTCTATTTTTTTTTTAAGGAAAATGGTCTCTTGTTTGTTCCAAAGGGCCAAGCCCAGAATCCCCAAGCACAGATGTTCTCTGATCCAAACATGGCCATGGATATGATGAAGAAAAACCTTTCAATGATCATTCCTCAGGTATTGAAATTAGAGTTTGACTTTGGCATTATATTTTGGATCATACTCATTACTTGTTATTGTACTTTTTGCCAAGTATGAGGAGATGCCTTGCTAACTTATGTTATTTTCCCTTGTTGAACAGACTCTTACTTTTGCTTGGGTGAACTTTTTCTTTTCTGGATTTGTAGCAGGTAACTTTTTACATTTGCTTCCCCTACTTGTTTCTCACTAATTGATTGAAATATTTCTTCTTTGCATGAATTCTTCATTTTGAAGTGTCAAGATGCCAGCTTTTTCTGTAATAATTATACATATTGTATCTTGTATCAACATGCATGCATGTCTTGACTTATGATATTGATCTGCTAAGCATAACCTTGTATTCTCTACTTTTATTATTTACCTCTCAAAAAATTTAAAATTTTCCTGCAGCCAAGATACCCTTTCCACTGACACAGAGGTTTAGGTCGATGTTACAGAATGGAATAGACCTTAGCACAGTAGATGTTAGCTATGTCAGCAGTCGTTCTTGGTAATCTTCATTTACATGGATTTCTACCTGTTTCACTCTTTCTTTTGGTTTAATTGTCTAGATTGCATTTCAGGTACTTCCTCAATCTGTTTGGATTAAGAGGATTGTTTAGTCTCATCTTGGGGGAAGAAAATGGTTAGTTATGACTTGAAAGCTGAGCACTTTTATATGTATACTTTTTATTATCTCATCAACTTCATGAATATGAATTTTTACTACTCTTCAGCATTTTGTCCATTTTTACTTCAAATTTGGGATTTGGATAGACACTTGTCAGAAGTTGTGATGTGTATTGTTTTTTATTCAGCTGTAGATGATACACAACGTATGATGCAAATGGGTGGATTTGGATTTGATCCTTCAAAGGTACAATTATAAGTGGTTTATTGTAGGCTTTTCATAAATTTGAAGATCGATGGTTGAAAATCATTACTAGTTGATTCCCCCCCCCCCCCCACACACACAACCCAAACCCTCTCACCTTTCTGCCATACCATAATGTAAAAATGATCATTTATTTCAAGGAGGTGCTGCAGTGTAAATAATTTTTCACTAAGAATCACAGTCTGCAGGACTTGGCATGGTTAGTTCAATAAACTGAACCGAGCTGTAATAAAACTAGATTGCAGAATCAGTTTTCAAACCACCTGTATTTAATTCGTGTTCTTTGAACTATAATTAACTCATTAACCTGTTCAGTAACCAATCTGTGAGTATGATCGTTTATGCTCCTGAGTTTGATGCTGCGCAACAAGCCATATTGATGAATGTGCAGAGCAGAGTATGGACTTTGCTACCCTTCTGCTCAAGGTTGCACAAAAATTGGCTGGTGGTGGTAACTGCTCAGACATGTGTATCCACAGTCAGCGGCAAACAGTTGGTGATCCTGTTGCCATAGCTGGAGAAACTCTGAAAGCTCTACATAGGAGTGGGTTGACACTGACAGCACCGATTCTTCTTTGTACTAGCCGCAGGTTGAACAATTTGGGATGTGCTTCAATATGGAGGATAGTGGCAGAGGAGAGTGTTGGGGTGGAGGTTGTGCCTCCATGGGTGGTGGCGAATGACTGGTGTTTGGGATAGAAGAACCCTTGTTGGTGTTTGAGGTTGTGCTTCTAGAGTAGAACTCATGGTCAAAATCCTCAATGGGTGTTTGGGGAGGTTTTGCACCTCCATTGAAGACAACAAGGGGCTTGTCTGCATCCAGAAGATAGATTTGATTTGCTAATTCAGTTTGGTTAAATACAGTTAACCAAATTGGATGTGAGAATAGTTAACCAAAATTTAAAATAGAAATCGGTTTGGTTATTAGCGGTCCTTTGTCCACCCCTAACAGTCAGGTGAAATTGAACACTTTTTGAAAGAGAAGCAAAATCTTCTTAGTTTATAAGAAAAGGAAAAACTGTTAGTCTTTGCTGAAGATTTGGCTAATCGCCTGGGGGCTAGATATACACTGTAGGAGTAGGATACCTTTCCCCTTGGCTTTGTGGTGTCATCATTATTTTTGAACGGTGAAAAATGGGAAAATACAGTAAACATAACAGATACTTTATCTAATCAAACATAGAGTAGGTAGAGTTGTAACTGTAACATAAATGAATTCTAGTCTAGTCTCTGAAAAAGTAATCTCCAATCTTCTTTTTTTCATCTTGTTTTCAGGGTCTGAGTGCTGAGAAAGACAATCTTGACATAACCCAGCATGACTGGGCCTTACCAAATTTCGAGCAGCGTGCTGAAGCTGTGTTGAGGAAAGTCATCAGTTGAACAATGTTGTGGAATGGGAAGTTTGATTGCTCGCATAATGCAGGATAAGTACTTTCTATTGTTGCGGTTGGAGCTTTACCATCCATGGCAAAAGATATTGCAGATCATGTTGGGATCATGATTGTATTATTGAACTAAACATTTTTCATTTTAATATCAGAAAACATTGTCCCGATTTTGTTGAAACCAGAACTGAAATTATTCATTCTTGCATATGTTTTTCTGAATGCGCATAACATAAGCATTAAGACTTCTCATGAAATGTTGAGAGCCTTGTAAAGTTGTTGAGCCTTGTAAAGTGTTTGAAGTCCTATCCTTTATGTACCTTCCTGATACCGTAAGTCCCACATCCCACTCCTAGAATTTTCCGGGAAAATGCTAATTATACAACACTTACGCTCTCACATTTGTTACTCTGGCAGAATTAGAACGTAGGCGTGTATGAAATAATATATATTCAACTATAATCAAATTGTGAAAATTGTATAGATATGGTGTAATATGTAATGTGCTTGTTTAGCATTGTTTAATTCTCCCACATAAAAGTATAGAACACACCAAATCCGTGTAGGTAACTAGGTAAGGTGATGTACCTATATTGTATAGTTATTATAAAGTGTAACTTTTCAGAGGTAATTTTTTTGACTAATTTTGACACAAACATAAAGGTTGGCATTCCCCCAATTATAGAGGGAAAGTTCCAAAATACGCATGGGGAAAAAACATGTCTTTCAAAACTTAAAAACAATATTAAAATTTGAATTAGCAAGACACTTTAGTTATGATTTATTGGTTTAATTTTAACCGGTTAAATTTAGAATTGAATTGAAATTAAACTATGATTAAAATGGATAATATTTGAACTAGAAACATAATAGTTTAAATTTCGATTGGTTTAACTAGACAGTCAGATATGATTATTAAACATTAGTAAAATAAAAATAAAAATATGGGTTCACTTTAGTACTTCCTCCAAAAAATTTATGTTAAATGTTACAGACTAAAAGTTATAAAAGTTAAAACTTATACAAATTACATATTCATAAAAATATAAATTTTTTAATTATATTGTCTATCAATTTAATTTATTATTATTATTATTGCATATTGGATAATATCTAAATTAATGGTTCCAAGTTTCTCTTTATTTCTTCTCTCTCTTCGAGTAGTGAGATCTAATACGCTAAAAAGTCATTGATTTAAATATTATCTAACGGTACAAAAATAATAATAAAGGTGGAAAGATTAAACTCCTACACAATAGACCCTGCCTCTAGACTAAATTACGGTAATCGGTTATTCAATTAAAAATTTCTACCAATTTATAGACCACCTATGTTCAATAATTACATTTTTTTAATCATACAAATTTTCACAAGGTGTTTTTTGTGTTAATTTTAACATAAAATGTAACATAAGATAGAATAATAAAAATAAGAGCTAAAATTTGAGGGGGTTTTTTTTTTAGTCCACTGTTTTTTTAAAACAGAGCACTTGTGATCTTTACTATTATCATAGATTTATCGAGTGCCGATCCCATGATTCCTAACTCACGTTTAAGGATACAATCGGCATTTAATTGATTTATGTTAATGGCAAATACTAAAAGTGTTCAATTTTAAAAATAAGAGACTAAAAATTAAATTTAATATATTTATAAAAACTGAATATTTTTAAGCCTAAAATTAAGCAAGTGTGACTTCAATAAAATATAATATTTCTTTCCCATTTCTCTCCTCTCTTCGTGGCACATGCACTGATGCACACCAATCCTTAATATTTTATAAATATCTGTAGTTTCAAGTCTATCCTCTTACATTTATTATGGTTTGGTACATAGGGTGCCATGCCCTACGACATACGTTCTCTTAAAAAGATTCTAAAACAGAAAGGCTTACACAAATACAAAATGGTGGATGAAAATATGCAACATAATTCAGCTCAGGATGAGTTGGAAAGTGAAAGGCAAAGAGAGCTAAAGGCTTTTGATGAGACCAAAGCTGGTGTCAAAGGACTGGTTGATTCTGGCATATCTAAAGTTCCTCAGATTTTCATTGCATCCACTAATGGGATCCCATACAAAACATCATCATCATCACCCACTTCTACTCAGTTCCAGATTCCAGTGATAGACCTTAAAGTTGAAAACTTGCATGAAGATGGTGTTGGACGGAAAGATATCATTGACAAGGTTAGAGTAGCCTCTGAAACATGTGGATTTTTTCAAGTTGTAAACCATGGGATCTCCAAGGAAATCCTTGATGAGATGATTAAAGGAGTTCGTAGATTTCATGAACAGCCACATGAATTGAAAGAGGAATATTATAGCCGTGATGGCACCCGTGATGGTTCAAGGAAAGTGAGATTCATCAGTAACTTTGACCTGTATCAGTCAAAAGCAGCAAATTGGAGAGATACTTTGATTTGTGCCATGGCTCCAGATTCTCCATACCCTGAAGAGTTGCCTACAGCTTGCAGGTATGCTCAATCACATCCATAATAGATTTCTAGAAGGGTGTTATTTGATAATTCATTGCCTAAAATTGAAGAGAGAAAACTTATTTTCTCCAAATAACAAATGCTTAAGTTGGGGAAAATTTTAAAATGGAGTCAAACTTAAACACTATTAGTAGAAGTAACACACTGCAAGTTGAACATATTAAGTGTATAAACTTAAGGGAAAGTATCTATAATTTTGAAGGACACAAAGTTATGTTATTTTAAGTGAGAAAAAAAGATAAATTATAGGAGAGAGAATGGGTGAGAAAAGTTTTAAATACGTGGGTCTCACTTCTTTGTGAGAGTAAAAAGATATAAGGTGTGTCATTTAAAATTGTTAAAAAAATAATCCTGGAACTGTTTCTCATTCATTCGTATTTCTCATCTCTAATTGAGATATATTTATACAAGTATTCTTAACAACTTCTACCAAATAATAGCTAACAATATTCACAAATCTGAACAAATAAACAAGTTACTCTTATCTAATAATAACTACATTTCAAATTAATTCTTATCTTCAACACTCCCCCTCAAGTTGGTTCATGAATATCTATCATGCCCAACTTGTTAGTAGCTTCTTCAAAGACTTTTCTAGAAACAGCTTTTGTCAACACATCAGCAAGTTGTTCCTGTGATCGTATGTGAGGGATCTTAATTATATGATTGTCCAGCTTTTCCTTTATAAAATGTCTGTCCACTTCCACATGCTTGGTTCTGTCATGTTGAACTGGATTGTGTGCTATTTCAATAGCTGCTTTGTTGTCACAAAAAAGATTCATTGGCTGACTATAAATAATCCCCAATTCAGTTAGAATGTTCCTAATCCATAACAGCTCGCACACACCGTAGGCAATACCTCTGAATTCGGCTTCAGCGCTTGATCTAGCTACCACCTTTTGTTTCTTGCTTCTCCATGTGACTAAATTTCCCTCTACAAAGGTAAAGTACCCGGACGTTGATTGCCTTGTAGTCTTATCACCAGCCCAATCTGAGTCTGTATATCCTTCAATACATGGTCTATTATTTTTTGAAAAAAACAATCCTTTTCCTGGAGACCCTTTTAGATACCTTAGAATTCGATACACAGCTTTCATATGTTCTTCACTAGGAGAGTGCATAAATCTGCTTACAATGCTAACAGAATATGCAATATCAGGTCTAGTATGTGATAAATAGATTAGCTTACCTACCAACCTTTGATATCTGCCCTTATCTGTCTCAATCTGATCTGGATATACACCAAGTGAGTGATTCATCTCCATTGGAGTATCTGCTGGCTTGCTACCTAACAACCCGGTTTCTGAGAGAAGGTCTAAAATGTATTTTCTTTGAGACAAAAAAATTCCTTGTTCAGATCTGGAGATTTCTATTACAAGGAAGTATCTCAGAGGAACGAGATCTTTCATCTCAAATTCAGCAGCCAATTTCTTCTCAAGAGACTTCATTTCTTCCAAATCATCACCAGTTAACACCATATCATCTACGTAGACAATAAGTATGGTTACCTTTTGTTTGTTGTGCTTTATAAAGAGTGTGTGATCTGAGTTGCTTTGTTGATACCCAAACTTCTTCATTGCAAGTGACAACCTACCAAACCATGCTCTAGGTGATTGTTTAAGACCATAGAGTGCCTTTTTCCAATTTACAAACAATATTCTGGTTTGAAGATGTTTTCCTTACTCCAGGTGGTACCTCCATGTAGACCTCCTCCTCTAATTCACCATTCAAAAAAGCGTTCTTTACATCAAATTGTTTCAAGGGCCAGTTTCTATTTGCTGCAATAGATATTAGAATTCTGATTGTATTAAGTTTAGCCACAAGTGCAAAAGTTTCCTGATAGTCTACCCCATACCTTTGTGTAAACCCCTTTGCTACAAGTCTTGCTTTGTATCTGTCAATGCTTCCGTCTGCCTTTAGCTTCACAGTATAGACCCATTTACAACCAACTGGTTTTTTTCCTTCTGGTAGAGATGTCAGACTCCAAGTTTTATTTTTCTGAAGTGCCTCCATTTCAGTGTTCATAGCCTGTTTCCATTTTGGATCCTCCAATGCTTCCTGCACACTATTAGGAATTTGCACAGTAGATAATTGATTTATTGTTAAAGCATATGATTCAGACAACCTATGATATGACACATAATTACTGATTGGATATTTTCCTCTTACTCTTGGATCTGGTTCATAGGTAGATTTTGGTATGCCTTTGTTTGCTCGTTCTGATCTTCTAGCATAAGTGCTGTTAGGATTTTGGGTTTCGGGAACCTGATCAGAATGTGTTTCACTTGTTGGTGGGATCGGTTGATCAGAATTTTGGGTGGAGGTGGACTCATGTGCAGCAAGTTCAGAGTGTGTTTCAGATGTATCCAAGGATGGAGTTTCAGGTATTTGAGATAGGTTTGGTGTTTCATTTAAAAAAGTGTGTGACGGAGGATTAGGAGGAAGATGGATAGAAGTAGAGGACCAGAATTTTTCTTCTCTAGTAATATGTTTCTCCCCCGGAGAAGAAGAAGAGGAAACTCCCCCTGAATAATATGCTTCAGATTCATGGAAAGAGACTTCAAGGGTGACATACATCTTATGAGTGATAGGATCAAAACACCTGTAGCCCTTTTGGAGGTCAGAGTAGCCTACAAATATACACCTCTTAGCACAAGGATCAAGTTTGGTGCGTAGAGGTTTGGGGATATGAACATGAGGAATGGAAAAAATAATCCTGGAACTGTTTCTCATTCATTCGTATTTCTCATCTCTAATTGAGATATATTTATACAAGTATTCTTAACAACTTCTACCAAATAATAGCTAACAATATTCACAAATCTGAACAAATAAACAAGTTACTCTTATCTAATAATAACTACATTTCAAATTAATTCTTATCTTCAATAAAAATGACACACCTTTTTTCCATGAACTTATTTGCAAACGTTCATCTAACCCCTTTAGCTTTTCAAATTAGTTCTTACCATGGTATTATCAAGAGGTCAAAAGTTTTATCTTTGCCATCCTATTCCTGTTTCTATTTTGGCAAAAGGTTGAGCAGGCTGTGTGCATTTTTCCCTTACTTATGTTTGGGTTCTTTGCAAAGGTACTCTTAATACAATACTAAATTTAGTAAGAATTTGGTTCATTTTTAACTCTTGAGAATTCATTAAAACAATTGAATTTGGATTTGCAAATCTGTTTCTATAGATCATAATATTAAACTAATGGAACACAAATATTGAGTGTGTCAGTAGCAAACAGACACAGATTACAAAAGAGTATGGTCATTTGAAACATTAAACTTGATCTATCAGGAAATTAAATAAGAAACATGCGTTTTTCTTGACACTCACAGGGATATAATCATTCATTACTCAGAGCATGTTAAGAGGGTCGGAGTTACCCTACTGGAGTTACTATCAGAGGCTTTGGGGTTAAAACCCAAACACTTGGAAGAGATGGAATGTGGGGAAGGGCATATGCTGGTCTCACATTACTACCCAGCATGCCCTGAGCCCCACAAAACTATGGGAACCACAGAACACTCTGACCCTGATTTCTTCACTGTCCTTCTTCAAGACCACATAGGTGGCCTCCAAGTACTTTACCAAGATCACTGGGTTGATGTCAAGCCAGTGGAGGGAGCTTTAGTTATTAATCTCGGAGACCTAATCCAGGCAAGTACTATTTTGTATCATGCACTGAACTACAAAATAATAATCATTTATATAGAGCACGCATCATATACATCTAATATATAAACAATTTTCATTATTGTTTCTCACATCCTACATACACATAAAAATATGTGGTACTCATAATTTTTTTTTTCACTCTCTTCTCTTGGGTCCATATGAGCCCCACACACTTTTATGTGTGTTTAGTAGATAAAATTTTATATCTTATAATATGAGAAACATTAAACCCGTACTTATATAGGGGTAAGTTATATTTACAAACTACACTATATACTATAGGTAATACATGCTCAAGTAGTATGTACTACTCATAACATATAATGTAGTTTATAAACAAAAAATTTGTAAATATAACATTTCTCACTTATATAATATAAACAAGGATTTAACACCAAGGGATGTCATAGCTGGTAAGCAAGTTTTGCTCAAGGAGTGAACCTAGTGAATCATTGGGACTGAAAAGTCTCTGATTCGATTCTTAAGTAAAGCAACTTGGGGTCAATGGCAAAAATCTTCATTCTCTGTCCCCGCGAAGGGGATTAGTGTCATCCAAATGGGTGGAGACACCCCTGAAAAAAAAAATATTGTTCAATCATTGATACTTATTGACAAATGATGAAAATACGCAAGTTTAATGTAGACTCTAGTGCAATACTGATATCTTTCTCAATGCTTGTTCAAGTATGAATATGTGATAAAAATGTTTATTTATGTTTTGGTACTGCAGCTTATCTCTAATGACAAATTCAAGAGTGCAAAGCACAGAGTTTTAGCAAACACAATAGGACCAAGGATATCAGTGGCCTGCTTCTTCAGCACTCATTATCAACCATTTAATCGGGTTTATGGTCCCATAAAAGAATTGTTATCAGAAGAGAATCTTCCTCTTTACAAGGAAACAACGGTGAGGGATTATATTGTCTATTACAATTCGAAAGGGCTTGGCACCCCTGCTCTTGAGGATTTCAGGCGTTGAAGCATTTGTGTGAGGTGTTTTGTGGTTTCTCCAATGGCACTACTATATTCATAACTACCGTTGAAGAATCTCTACTCTGTATTTAATAAGCACAATTCTTGTACAAGTTTTCGAAATCCTTTGATGTCATACTTTCGTTAATGACTATTATCCAGCAGCTATATTTCCTACATTCAACGTCAAAATAGAAATAATAAAATTTCAAGTTTTCGTGATTTTCAAAAAGTTTATTTAAGAAATTGAATGGAATACAAATTATCATACTATTATTTATATATCTTATGATAAGATAAAATAAAAAGTTTTCATTATTCGAGAATTGAATATAATGATTAGTACACATTTTTTTATGGTAAATTAATAATATAAACAATAAGTGGTCTCCATTTCATATCCTTAAATGGAATGAATAAAATTACAAGTATTAGTTAAAAAGAGATAAATCAAATTTGGTATATTCATTTCTATTTTATTTTCTTTGTCCTCCTGTCTAAACATACTCAAGGAGCATGAAAATGTCGCATGAAATGTTGAATCGTGTGCTATGTTTGAAGACCTATGTATCCTATCTGTGCCCTCTTCATACATTTTAACTAATTGCCAACTTTTCTGTGGAAAATATTGTTGCTAAACTAAGGCATTCCCCAACAGTTAAAAAAGTAAAGTTCCAAAATGTAACCGGTCGTTTAGCAACGATATTTGCTAAGCAATAACAAGAATTACTAAATTTGCTTAGCAAAAGTGACTTCAATAAAAAAAATTGATCAACACGATGACCACAGCAGAAAAAAATACGTGATTTTCCAACTCGCGGGTACCAAGCTTTTGCTTGATCACAGATTATGTTTGCTACATGATAACCATGTCAAAACGCTTTGTGCGAATTTAATTTCATTCAATTACCATTAACTTTGGGGAAAAACAATAATTAAGGCCATTCCAATTAAACTATTTTGGTGCGTAATTAGCTCCGGAGAATAGACCACTCCAATCCTCAATTTGTAGGTAACTATATCACAAAGGACTCGCAGCGCAGAAATAAAGGGAACGAAAAATATCAGTTAAATTTTCATCTGAAGGAGGTGGTGACATTGACAGAGAGGTCAGCACTCGAGAAATCATCCAATGGAGATACAAAAAACAAATACATGCTAATTCAGTAACCAGCCATCAAATGGAGTGAGGCTCGGAATAACAGAGTATAAGTAACAAACTGAACGTTGGAGCCACCAAAATTTCTGACCTTAATTACGTTTGAGGTGGTTCGCATACATGTTCTTAATACTCTACCAAAACTTGTACTAATTTGGTTTATTCAAGCAAACTGAATTACGATTTCCTGTCAACAACAACAACAACAAAAAAAGGCAATGCCCACGACAAGACGACTACAATCTCCTATTATTTATTCTATCCAAGAACCTGAGCTCTCACTCAGACATCCAGAAATCACATGAAATTATTATAATTTACAGACTCCAGCATCAAAATAAATTCATGAAAACATCCACATCCTAGCTTTATTTCAGTCCCAAAGTTACATTTCATCATTACGTTACAAATCCATGTTACAAATTCACAGCCAGACTCCTTCCACGATCATTCCTTCAGACTTTTCAAAGCCGCAGCAAAAATCTAATAATGAAGAAAACAAGCATAATTTAATTATCAGTTATTGTTACATTCTAGCAGTATATTATCAAAATCGGTGTCTTATTTCAACAGTTAGCAGACAAAGCGACTAATATTCAGAATAGTTTTATGATATTCTAATGCATTCTATTCATTGCCAATATGGAACTTAAGCAAATTACATGACAGATATGATGTGCAATTATGCAAATAAAGAACGCCTCACTCATGAAAAGTATGTCCTACAAGCTATCAATCAGACATCATTTGAGAATGTGGCATAATCCTTGAGTCGCTAGAGCAACTTTACATTCAGACACAGAAGAATGTAATGGATGGATGCACAAAAGAGCAGCTTCATTTGACCGCTACCATTCCATGAATCAAAATAAGAAACACAGCGATGCAAGAAACAGATGGAAGGTGCTAAAAAATTAACATCATTTGTGTATGTTGACATAGTAAAGGCAGAGACTCAACTTAGAAGGCTTTGACGAGATAGAGACTCAACTATGTAAGTTTTACACCAAATGAAAGATTCTTTCTTTTCTCTTCTTTTTCCTTTATTTCCGCTGTGTTTGCTTTAGTCATATATCACAAAATGAGGCTGAAATTTCTACTAGAGACTGACAAAAGATATATAATGACACCATTCACAGAAACAGATACCTTAGATGGTGGCTGAGGATACTGTCTAAAATCTGCTTCTACACCAGGAGATCGATTGTGCTGACTGCTTCCCACATACTTGTCACAACTGCTTTCCTCTTTATATTGCAGAGCCCCCTGATCAAGTTGCTCGTTCGGCGGCTGAAATTTAGACAAAAAAGGATAAAAAATAAAAATTATATTGTACAACAACAGCAATTACATAACTAGGAGTAGACTAGTAGTAGTGGGTTTCGATAGTTTGCAAGAGGTCATAGGTTCAGAGACTACAGACCTTAGTAGGTGGCTGAAGATGTTGTCTCCAATCAGCCCCGGGTGATTGATTATGCGAACTACTTCCCTCACTCTTGTTATAACTGCTTTTCTCTTCGTGATGTGATGGCAAGGCCCCATTATCAACTTTCTTATTTAACTTGGTGGATAATATATTATCCTTTTCCGTACATCTTCTTATCGATCTTAAATTATAAGATCTTGCAATTTCTGTCTCCTCATGATTAGCATTCATTTTCTCAGTGCTTTGGGAATTCTGATCCTTCTTTGAGAACTGAGTAGCTGCTGCTCGTGCACCAGCTATGGCCAAACTTATACTGGATGATCTGTCCACTTCAGTTGCTTTCAAATTAGGAGTAAGCGCAGAGATACAACCAGGCTTCAGGGAAAATGGGTCTCGTGGATCTGGAAGTGGAAATTTCACCGGCAACGGACTATTAACTGGAGACAGACCTCTAACTGCAGCTTCATAGATCTTAAGAATAAATAGAAAAATCAGCCTTCATTCAAAGAAAAAACAGAAAGGAACATGGAGATTTATAACAATATTACCTTCCTTTCCAAGTTATAAACACCTTGGTATCCTCGCATCTCAAATGGAATCAACAATTTCTGAAAGGGTGGAAAAGGCCCTCGTTCAGCATACATACAAACATACAGTTCTTAGTCTTGCAATTATAGGAATGGCATAGAAGTAGGAAGACACAAACCTGTGGCCGTTCACATAGCCAACAATAATCAGTTTGTGCTTCCAGCCTCACCTGAGGAAGAAATGGACTTAATTTAGTGGGGGGGAAAAAGAGAGGATAATTATGAACCAATACTTTAAAAGAAAAACTTGGTATGGTAATGGTACCCCTTCAGGAACCATCTCCCAGCTTGCTAGCTCATCACGTCTTAAGCAGCCAACCACTTCAACACAGCCTGTATCAAGCATTCAAGATGGTGAGAAATTTTTTTAGTAATATTGAGAATTATGCATGGGTAAGGCTGCGTATAAGGATTGTCTTCGCTTCACACTCGCTAGTCGGGTTTAACTGAAAGTGTTTTTTTTTTTTTTTTTTATTGAGTATTAGGTGCTACATTCACTACATACTCATTGAATTATAACACATACTCAGTTAACCCCATTTATTGGTTTTGTATCTCACATAAAAAAAGTAATCCATGTGTTATGATTTAAATGGATACTACAAGACTATTAAAAAAAAAAATTCCAACATGGTGGGGGAAAGAACAATATGATGAATTGAAGTGAAATAAAAAATGAGGTTGTAGTATACCCAGAAGTCTAGAAACGGGGTAGTGTTGAGGAAACTCGATATCAGTGATGCCATTGAGTGCATGTATCTCCTTATAGAAGTATTCCATTGCTTTGATAGTGGACTCATCTGGAACTTTACTGGCAGCATGAATCCAAAGACGACCTTAAACAAACAAGAAATAAACAAACAACTTCAAAACCATGAATAGGGAACACGTGGGTCAATGTGTATGTTCCATACATAAACATCTTAACAAAGAGAGAGAGAGAGAGAGAAGGAGGGGAACCTGTGATTGGAGAAGGCCATGACCTGCCCTCAATACGCTTGATCCCGTAAACGAGGAGAGAAGCCCATGGCTGGTGCATAGTTAAACATGGATTCCGATAATTCCCAGACCTAGAATTCTGATTGTGATTGTAATTGTTTCCTCTCATCGCTATTCTAATTCTTCAATTTTCAATCCCTTCGTCCTCCCACGCCAACAACAAACCCTTCTGCGTATGCTGTGGGGTTTGGTTCTCAGTTCTCGCCTTAGGATTCAAGGCCCCTGCGTGGGATTCCAAGAAAATAGTTTATTTTACAAGTGCTTCTTACAAAAGAAAGTCGATATACATTGGATTAAGATTTTAAAAGATATTTTAAGGTTAAAAACATTAGATTTTAGGTAGTGTTTCTTTGAGGATAACTGAATATTTTTATGGCAAAGTGAAGTTGGGATTATTTCTTTTCTACGTTTGGTAGAAGGATTTGGTCTCTATTCTCTATCAATGAAGTTTGCCTAGCAATCAATGATAACAAGTAAAAGTAGGATTTCAACAGTGTTTAAGAAGCCTCTTGTAAAGGTGGTATTTAGGGGTGTAAATGGGCTGGGCTAGGCCGGGCTTTGGCCTTCCTGGCCCAAGCCTACGTAAAATAAAATTCAGTCTATCTGGCTTACTGGTCTATTAAAGGCTTTATTTGTAGGTCAAGTCCGGCCTATTTTTAAAAATAAGAAAGCATGACATGGCCTACAGGCCTTGTAGGCCTCCCACTATAGATACTAAGCAAAGAAAATAATTATATAGAGCAAAGAAAGTTTCATTCATGCATGCACTAGTACTTCTCATAAGAAAAAAATGACAAACAAGAAAGAGTCAACATAATATCCCAGCTCTAGAATGTATATCATAGAGGAATAAAGTCAAATAAAAGGGGAAAATAAGAAAACTACAATTATTGAGTGCTGAAATAAAGTCTACAAGAGAATGTCATTCATCTAAAAATCTTTAAACCACCTTCAAGACAAGGGAAAGAAAAGACGAAGCCGAGAGTGAGAAGCGCCGGTGCACATAAAAATTAGGGTAGGTATTGGTACTTTGCCACATAAAATAAACATTATTTTATTTTAATAAATAAATAGACCAGCCTACAAGGCTTTAGGTCAAGCTTGACAAAATTGGCCTATGGCCTATTTTGTTAAAAAGATTTTCTTATAAGCCTAAGCCTACTCTACTTTCTCTGAAAGGCCGGACTAGGCCAGGCTCAATGTAGGTCGAGCTGTAGGCTGGGCTGGGCCAGCCTGGCCCATTTACACCCCTAGTGGTATTGCCGATAGAAAGCAGATAAATAATTTTTTTTGACATATTAAATTATTAAAATATTTATTATAATTACACAAACTAATAAGGAAAAAAATTTACTATAAATTCTAACATAGTTATCTAAATTATATATTAAATAATATCTCGTAACATTGAAAATTCAAATGAACAATTATTAATGATTATATATCAAAGTAAACATATAAAAAGGCACTAACATTTTCAATAAGCATTTCAAACATAAGAATTTCACTTTCCTCTCACAGCATAATAAGCAAGTGATAAGTTATTTTATCTACCATTTTTTTCGTCTACCTTTGTCTATCACTCTCCAACATCGTTTGATCAGAATCTTAATAAGAGAAAGAAATAATAAATGTAATTGAGATTCTGATCCAATGGTATTGAAGAGTGGTAAGCAAAGGTAAGCAGAAAAAATGGTAGGTAGAATAACCTATCCCAATAAGTAATGGACCAAGCATTGTCCTAAGGCTATGAAAACACACAAATATAATAAATATATGCTTAATAACATTTAATAAATAATTTAAAATATAATAGAAAAATGCATACCTAAAATTGTAAACGACGCTCTTTTAAACTGACAAAATCTTCAAGGATAGAATCTCGTAATTCTTGAATAAGTTACTTTGTACTTGAAACTAATTGTATATCATTCAAAATATCTTGAGATTTTTGTTGTAATGCTTGAAAAAGAATTTCAGTGATGCTCATTATCTCTTTCATCAAAAATAAATTAAAGATAAATGTAAAGGAAGTGATCATCTTATAAGCTGCAGTAGCATCTCCTCTTTGAGAGTAATTTGAACCTTCACTACGAATTATTTTAATAAGTAGATCTCCTCTTTGAGAATAGTTTGAGCCTTTATTATGATTGCAATTGTAAGTCACAAATTAAGGCTTTAAAAATAATTTTAATTGATGGGTTAGGTAAAAGGGTTTGGGTATTGGGTTTTATTTTTCTGATTGAAAACATAAATATAATTATATTTATTTAGGTGGTACCAAATTACAAACTTAATCTTAGTTAATTATAATTAATTATATATTTATATATAACAAGTAAATTTTTTTAAAACCAAGCAGGTGCTAAGGCACCTGCTGGCATAGGAGTGGCTACGCCACTGAAGATGACTACTGAAAAATGGCACAGTATCATGAAAAATCGCAACAAAATGGAGACCTCAATGTCCAAAAATGGCACAGTATCAACGGTATCATGTACGAAGATGACAACTGAATGGAGACCTCAATGTCCAAAAAAAACACTCGACAATACATGTTGGAAAATCATTATTTTATAAGAAGGTTAATTTCGTAATTTTAATTCTTTTTCCCATCAAAAACTTATTTTCAACCAAACATACATCAGTTTAATTAACCCAATTTCCCCAGTAATATTTTGCGGTACCAAACAACTTTTTTTAAACTTTTCTACCAAACTAACTTTCAATGTCTTTCCTTGTAATTACATTTTCCCACTTTAAAAAAATTTCTCCCCAACCAAACACTACCTTAAAGTAAATACCTTTTTCGTCCCTGACAATATTCACGAAACCTCTTTTAGTCCTTGACAATATTCACGAAACCTCATTTAGTCTCCAACAATAAAAAAGGCTCATTTTGGTCCTTAATTTTAGAAAAATAGTGCAACATTAGTCCTTCTGTTAGTTGAGCTATGACGGCGTCACTAACGTGTCTGACGTGTACCGTTAAGTGGCTGACTCACATTCCACGTAGGACCAAAAACGACGTCATTGAGGTACCTTCAGTTTTTTTTTTCTTCTCTCCCACTCTAAGTTTATCTGGAGATTACAACGCTAAGACTTTCCCTCACTTTCACAATTTGCTTCTTCTCTCCCACGTCGTTGAGGTACCCTGTTGTCAATGACCAAAGCTTTTGACGAAGTCTCTATACCATAGTCTCCATTGGACAAATCAGAAGCCCTAGCACTAGCGTCCATTTCACAGAATGTGTGGTCAATGACGATGAAGATGGTGCTTCGGAGGAAAATTGAACTGTGGGTCACGAAATTGGCCAGGTTAGGGTTTGGATTTGAACAGAAAGTGAATTTTTTCACAGAAATGGAGAAGCTTAGCGTTGTATTGTGCTGCTCCCACTCTCTGCTTTTGCAGTGGCGACGGTCAGAAGAAGAGGGTGACAACGAGCAATGAGACCCAGATGCTAGGTATTTGCATATATGTAAACCAAGGAGGTACAGAAATACTGTAAACCAAAGGTGATGGTCTGGTAAATTTGAAAAGTACACAAAGATTCCATCTTTTGATTCATTGGAGCAGAACCCTGATGCTAGGTATTTGATATATGTGCAAATGAGACTATTCATGGTGTTGAGTTTAAGGATTACCCAACACCCAAAAATGCAAGTGGCATTTTGGTTGCTGATATGTCTTCAAATTTTTGTTCCAAGCCTGTTGATGTGTCCAAATTTGGGGTGATCTATGTTGGGACCCAGAAGAATGTGAGGCCCTCTGGTGTAACCATTGTGATAATCAGAAAGGATCTGATTGGGAATGCTCAGCCAGTTACTCCTGTGATGCTTGATTTCAAGATACATGATGAGAACAATTCACTTTACAATACCCATCCTTGTTATTGTATTTACATGTGTGGTTTGGTGTTTGAGGACCTTTTGGAACAATGTGGTTTGAAGGAGGTTGAGAAGAAGAACATGAAGAAAGCTGAGATTCTCTACAATGCCATTGATGAAAGCAATGGCTTTTTTGGATGCCCGGTTGAGAAGTCAGTGAGGTCTTTGATGAATGTGCCATTTACTTTGGTGAAACCAGAGTTGGAGGCTGAGTTCATTAAGGAGGCTGCTAAGGAAAAGATGGTTCAGCTTAAGGGACATAGGTCGGTGGGAGGTATGAGAGCTTCCATTTATAATACTATGCCTTTGGGTGGGGTTGAGAAGTTTGTGACTTTCATGAAGGATTTCTAGGCCAATCATGCTTAAAGGAGGATCTTATGCCTGCTAGAAATACTTGGATAATCGTAGTGGTTTCAACTTGGGTGTACTAATTTAATCTCATCATTAGTGCATGATAGTTAGGTACATTACTTTTGTGCAAACATTTATCTATTATGCAGAAAGTGTCACTATAATTCCAAAGAATCTCTGGTAGTTTTTGCTTTCTTTAGTTATTTAGGCTGAGGCTGTATCCTTTTCACTTTTTTAGCGCCCTGTTTGATATTCAAATTTGGGTCGACAGGTTGTGTTTTCATTGCACTTACCATTGTCGACTGGAAGTGAACTAGTTTAGGTTCGATTTATTGGTATGTCCTCAATTACAAGTTTGTAAGGTTTGAGTCCCATGTGATATTTTACTGGATGTAACATGGTATATTTGCAATAATAAAATGAGGACGAGACATATTGAGTTACTGTGGAACTACAAATACCTTGATTTATTATGGAACTACAAATACCTTGCTTTGGTTTACATGTATTCTAAATCCTTTGATTTCATGTCCCTGTTTTTCTTTAGTTATGGACCAAAAAAGGCCCCGTGGTTTTTTTCAGGGACCAATACGAGCGTTGGAAATCCACAGTGGACCACTCAAATCCGCGTCAGCAAACTAACGTGCCAAGTGTGCACCGTCAGTTGGGCCGTTAGATGAGATTTAACATAAGGACTAACGTGGCCTGTTTTTTGTAATTTAAGGGACCACTATTAAGGGTGTAAATGGGCTAGGCTAGGCTAGGCTTTGGCTTAAATAGGCTAAGCCTGTGTAAAAACCATTGGATATGGCCTGGCCTATTAGCCTGTGTAGGCTCCACATTACAAGTCTGACCTGACCTATATTTAAAAAAAAAACCGTTGGCCTAGGCCTGTTACCCTGTTTAAGCTTATTAAACATTCAACAATTAAAAGAATAACTAAAATAATATAATTCTATTATTCAAAATTATTAAATAATAGTTTTATTGATTATATTTTAAATAAATAATATGATATAGGCCGGCCTGTAGGCTTATAG